TTCTGTCATTAAAAGGAAAGGTCTCATTGATGTCACACACACAGAATAGAAACTTAGGGGAAGAGTCAACAATGGATTAAAATAGTTTTTAAACATTTAGCATATTAAGGTCACGTTTAATCATGATAAAGGTAACATTCAAAGGATGTCAAAGGAGTTTTGAGTAAACGCAGGACAAGGCTTAATAAATGGAGATCAGAAATGTACTCAGTTGTCTGATACTGGATCTTAGAGCCATGTGCTCCTATGCATATAATTATTTACTTTAGGTGAAGAAAAGGCAAGATTGTTGACTTCAGGGAGTTTGAATTCTAAGACACATATGTGAATTGTATTTGGTAGAAGATCCCATTCCTTGATGGAAGAAATACATGTTGATTAATTAGTCTGTAATCTTTTAACCAAAGCCAATAAAATAGGTAATTATGTTGGAGGGCCGGCATTATGTCCAGTTAAATGAATCCTTTCTCATTGTTAGCCATGTATCTGGAGACATTGCTATTTAATCCTGGGAGGAATCCGAAACAGGAATACGTGCATGCATGCTATGGAGAGAAATGTGTTTTTTTCCTCTAACCCTGAAGATACCTGGGTCTCTGACATCTTGCCCATAGGCATCTTCTGAGATGTCCATCATTCCGTCTGGCCCTTGGTCCTCACTCTGAGCAGGACCTTCGGATGAGCCCTAGTGTTTTCTCACGGGATTGTCTCCTTTAGATTCTAACAGCAGACCCCCCCAGGCTTGGCCGGTGGTTTCCACGTGAGGGGTGAGAGAGGTCAGATACTCCAAGCATAGCAGAGTCGCTGGATTAACGGGATGGGAAGGCCAAACAAAGAGCATGTTTGGGTGAAAGAAGGACCTCTTGAAAGTCACAGCTTAACCTTTCTAGACATTCCCATACCCCAGGGACAGGGCTGGACTAGATGTGCCCTCTTGGGGCCCTTCCCAGGTAGTGACTTTGTGTCGTAGCCGTCTGCCTCAGGTGGTGGCCTTCTTCCTGTTCACTTGGCTCCTTACACCAAGCCTGGGTGGCTCTTCCAGCTTTGACTCCTTTACTGCCTGCGGCCTCCCTTTGCTCCCCTGCCACCCTCCAGTGGTCGGCCTGGAGGTGGGCTGGCCGCCCTGCAATGGAGACCCTCTGAACTTGGGGTTCTAAAGCCATGGGGTGTTCCTGGGTCTTCAGGACACCTGCCTCCCCGTGGGTTTCCTGGGCCAGTGGCCTCAAGTTCTGGGCCAAGCTGCTGCCCACCCCAGGTTTTGGGCCTCTCAAGGGAGGGAATAGAGTAGTAGCATCTTCTGTGGCAGATTATCACCCTTGTGGTAAACTTTAGTGCCTTCTCTGTAATCTACGTCCCTTCCTCCAGCTACAGAGCAGACTTGAAAAGAACTACTGCTTGCTGTTGTTCAACTAAGTCATACTTTGTTAAGGGAGGTTTAGTGCATTTGCCTCCTGGAATCTGCTAGAAGGATGGGCAGCAAATTGGAAAAATGAGTAGGTGGACTGCTAAGCATGTTCATGCCTCTCCCAAGGCTTTTGTTCAGATGTGCAGCATTGGCGGACAGTGGGTGACACTGTTTACCTGACCCACTGGTCAGGGTCCCGTCATCCCAGGAACACAGGCTGTGGGAAGGACGTTCCCGGATATTGAACCAGATCCTGGCATGAGGTTCATCCCTTCTGCTGCACCCTGTGGCTTTCACTGGGCTTTTTCCTTCTGGTTGTAGTCATGAATGGTGGGGACCAGCAAGTGGTACGTTAAATAAACGCACTGTTAAACTGGAGTGAGAGCAGTGTGGGCCAGGTGGGGGCTTTCCAGCTTCAGTGCAGAACAGGATGATATCTGCCTTGGAACAAAGGATGCTGCTTTGAGAAACCCAGGCGAGCTAGAACCAATACTGGGAACAGTGCCACTTTTGGTGACTAGGGTCCTGGCTTTGCTCCTGTCTCCATGCGCAGCCTCCGGAAAGTGCGTTAGACTTTCTGAACCTTCCACACTCGTTCCATCTGCAGGTTGTGAGAGCCTGTCCCTCTCAGCCTCACAACAGAGTGAAGCTAGGAAGCAGAAAGTCCACAGCGAAAGAATAAAGGTACCAAATCAAGGCATTTAGATTCCTTTCCTGGAATCAGTTCCTTTGCTACCAGGCTGCAATTCTGACAATGGCAACCAGCAATCAAGTGCAGAGAAACCTTTAAAGGCTCTGGTTTAGTGGGTTGATATGATAGGAAAGTGGGAGAATGTCCCTTCCCCTAGTAGGACTGTATCTGCCTACATTGTCCCTCCCTTTTTCCTGGTAGATTGTCAGCCTTTCCCTCCCTTTTCTGGGGGCTCAGAAGGCATGGACAGTTTTGTTTCCTTACCTGTCCATATTCCTACTGCAGTGTTTTCTTTAGAGTATTTGTGCAGATAAGGTTCTTGACCTTGAGGACAACCAGATGTTTTCCCATTTGTCTAGGAGTGGGTGTCCCCCTGCGGGTCCTCCTGCACAATGAGTCCACATTGTAGAGACTGTCTGGCAGCGTTCACCCTGGGAGTGGCCTCTGCTCAGTACGGCCAACTTGAGCTCAGGGGGCCCCTAAGCTGTGGGGTCGAAGGAGATGCCATGAGCCCTTCCACAGCAAGGGCAGAATACTAGTGTGGACTCCACCTATGGGATAGGTACCTTTCCTAAGATATTTCTCAAAGCCACATTTCAATTCTTTTCCATGTTGCTTGCATAATAATTGGCTTCTCCTGCCTCCCTTATAGGATTGAGACGATTTAAATGAGGTAATCCATTTTGCACATTTAGCATAGCATCTGGCACTCACTAAGTGTTTCATGTAAATGTTAATTTCTCATATTGGAAAGAAAGCTCAGTTCTTTGATCTAGGTGTGGGAGAAAAATAATTTTGATAACAACTTAATTTTGCTCTCCCATTTTGCAGAAGTGTTAAAATGTAGTCCCCTTTTCTTGGGATTATGTGTGAGTGTCTAAGTGAGAGGGGGCGGATGTAGTTCCCAGGTGTTGGGGGACATCTGCTTACAAGTTCACTGTCCCATCTGGGCCTGGTCTGGGGAGGAGCAGCAGTCCCTGACCGCCTGGGGGAATCTGGGAGCCAGCACTCTTTGGGGTCCTAGTGTCCCTGGGTGTGGGGTGCAGATTCCCTTAGGCCTTAGATCCACACGCCTTTGGCTTGGCCACGCCTAGCCCCTCTGAGAAGCAGAGCTCACCACGCCTTTCTTGGTGCCCGCTGCATGTGTCTGTGCACGTGTGTGTGTACCTGTGTGTTTGATGGGGACTGGGGAAGGAGCGGTGGGTGGCTACTCTGGTCGTAGTCATCCAGATCTTCAAACATTTTGTCCAAATTACTCCAAGGCCTTGGGTTTTAGAGAAAGCAAAGCCAAAAACTGGGGGCCCTCTGTTCTCAACTTACTCGTCACTTCCTCTAGGTGGTAGTCTAGGATGCCTCTGCGAGGGGCAGGGGCGGTGGGCGCATGGCCCAGGCAGCAGAGGGAAGGGAAGGGAGCAGAACGTTGCTTTACATTTTGTTATTTGCTCACACTGCCGAACTGTGATCATCCTGCCTATGAAGTGCTTAAGTTGATCTGTTAAGATTGGCTTGGAAATGTCTTCTTTCTCTGTATCTTCTCATCTGCCCACCAAGTGCCATTAACTAAAGTCTGTTAAGCCAAATAGGAAGGAAGGGGAGGCTTTGGGGCTGGGTAAGATCAATCATTGCAAGCACTTATTTAGTGCTCACTGTATACTCCGTGCTTTATGTGTGTTTCCTTTGAGGAACCCAGGGGACCACCCAGTGGGGTTGGCACTGCTGCTTTGACGAGATATGGAGACAGGTGGCCCACGGCGCACAGGTAGGTAGATAAGTGGCAGAGTGAAGACTGGAACCCAAGCGTGCAGCGGGGAAATGCGTGTCTGCCTGTGCTATGTGCACGCCAAGACCGGAGCACGCAGACCTGAAGACCACCAGCCTGGGCCTCTCTTTTTTTCTGGCTGAGTCTGGGCAGTGCTGGCACTGGCCGCCCCCGAGCTAGACGGCACCCTGATTTCTCTCTGCCATCTCTGAACTCAGATCTTCCCTCTCGGGGTCCCAGCAGCAGAGCCCCGTGCACCTGGCACAGCTGGGGGGCCCGGGGCCCGGGGGCAGCTGCACTGGGCTGCTGCCAGCGCCGGGAGCAGGCGTGTGTGACACAGGCTGGGCTGCATTCTTTATGGGTCAGTGGTTTGGCAGTCACCTCACCAGCGTCCGACTGGACACAGAGCTTCCTGTCCAGACTTCTGGGGAGCCCTGTTTGATTTGTCCCCACCCAGTTGCGCCCACACTCCCTGCCATCGCCACCTGGGGAGAGCCCTTCGCAGGGCATCTGGTGGGAACCAGACACTGTGGGGGAAGTTGGCTCCCTTTTCTGTTCTCCATCCTTCTCAAGGCCAGTGGCAGCTGTAGTCCTGCCCCAGCTTTGCCTTGCCTGACTTCTACCATGAGGTGACCTTGGGGACATGCCCCTTTCCTTCGTGACACTTCTTTGACATCCTCAGAAAGCCTGGAGCAGGAGCTGTCCACACCAGGGGCCAGCAGCAAGGGCCAGCTCCCTGCAGTGACTCGGGGGAGTGTTTCCAGGTGGCCTCGTGGCGGGAGGACCGGCAGGTAGAGTTACGGAAACTCTTCTCCACCACTTCCTGCCTTTCTCCTTTTTCCCTTTTCTTTTTTAACTTTTTTTGGATAATTTTTTCAGATTTCAGAATTAAAGAAAGCTGCCTAAGTGCAAGGAACTACTGTGTACCCTTTTTTCAAATCTACCAGTTCATGCTTTGCCACTTTTATTCTCTCTTTGGGCACGCACACACACACACACACACGCACACTTTTTTTCTGGAGCATTTGAGAGTGAGTTGAAGTCACATCCTTTCATTTGTCCCTCCGTGCTTCAGTGTGTCTTACCTAAGAACAAGGCCCTTCTCTTACATGATCATGGTACGAGATCAGAACCAGGAAATTCAACATCGATACAACGTTGTTATCTAGTCTGCAGTCCATTAATGTATTCAACTTCCAGTTGTCCTTTACAACTAGGTATTTTCTGGGAAGGGTTTGGTGGGTGAGGGGTCTTTCAAAGGAGCTATAGTCTAATTTTCTACCTCATAAGCCTCTTTGAGGAAAAGTTTCTAAAAGTTAGAATGCTTATCATGAAAAGTTTGGAAACTACAGAAAATAGAAGGAGAAAATAAAAACCACCCGCAATTCCAGCACTGGGGTGTAGCGCTCAGGCAGGTAAAGGGCTTGCAGAAAGGCAGTTGGAAGACATCTCCGGTTCCTTCAGCTGCTGGTGACCCGGCCACCCAGACAGGCGGGCTGTGGGGTGGAGCCAGCCCCCGTCTGCCGCCTGGTCGTTCATGCTGCTGCACGGTCCCTGGGCGAGTGCGGACCCAATCCAAGCCGCCAGCAAACTGAACCACCCTTGGTGGTGCTTTTGTCGTGCATACCCTTGGGGTGGGGTAGGGTGGAGATCATTATTAAATATCCAGAACTTGTTGGAGACTTGAAAAGAAATGTTGCAGGTCCTCTCTTGTCTTGTGTATACCCCTCGCTTCCTAGACTTGGCGGGGGTTAAGGACGGGCGAGGAGCCTGACTGCGGGGAAACAGCATCGGCCATGTCCATCATCTTGCGGCTATTTCAGACTAGCCTGTTGATGAACCTCTTGGCCCATACCAGTGGGCCACTGAAGAAGTGCGACACAGACTTCGAAACTGTGAAGTTTGCTCTTTGTTAATGACGGTGCCTCTCAAAAGCCCTTGGGGGAAGGTTTCAGAACTGGTGTACATGGTGAGATTTGGACCTTCTGCGTGGTGCCTACCTGGGCGGTCCCCTGCGCCCTGACCAATAGTGACTGAGAGCCACTCCCCTTTTTCCTGGCCTGGAATGGGTCGTGGCTAAGTGAGTCTGGTTTGTGGGAATGATTTTGTTCTTAGCAGTTCCCCTTTGCGTGTGCCTCAGTTTCCCTGAGTTGGAAACCTACGCCTCGTGTGAGAAAGGGCCCCTGAAGGTCATGATCAAAAGCCTCGAGTATTTTTCCATGTGTTTGTTTTCTCTTCCCCTGCCCCAGACCCTCGCCTTGAAGGAGCTGGCCTTGGGGGTGATAGTGGCGGGCAGCCGCCCAGGCTCCGTGCGCCCCGCTGGGCCCACGCAGCACCCATCCTGGACAGGCCGGGCTGAGGGGCTGCTCTTCAAAGAAACCCTTTGAAGTGCAAACATTTCCTTTCCTGAAAAGAAGGGAAATTGAAATGAAAACATATTGTTCTGTGCAGACAATGTTCCCTTCGATCAAAGAGGGAGCGGGGCTTATAAAGGGGGATTCACAGTTCAGACCTGGACGGGGCGACCATGTGGGTGTGAGCAGCCGTCCCGAGGAGGAGGAGGAGGAGCGGGACGCGTCTGTGAGATCGGTAAGACTGCGTTTCCCTGTCTGTTTTCTTGTTCCTTAACGTCCTGTTGTCTAGATCTTACGCGCTCTACTTAACTGTGTCTCTCTTTTCTGTCTTTATCTTGTGATGAGCCTTTGGAAATGTCCTTCTGTGAATTGCGATACTGTCTCCGCAGTAGAATGTTATGTAGCCAGTTAAGAATGGTGTTTTCAAAGAACATGTGATCCTATGGGAAAAACTTTAGTGTCAAAATTGAAAAAAAATCTGGGTGCGATTTTCCATATCCAGCATTATCTTAATGAGATATATGTGTTTGCACAGAAAGAAAAGACACTTGAAAATGGACTTTGTTTTGTGCACTGCTGTATTTGTAGCACTTAGAATAGTGCTCAACAAATACTTACTGAATGAGTATTTTTATAATTAGTAACACAGTAAATTTTAAAGGAGGAGTGAGTCTTTGAGCTAAATGGTAAAATTTTGGCAGGTGGATGGGACATTAAATTATTTTAGATTCCTATTATAATTTTGGCCTGGCAACTAAATTTGGAGTTTATTTTGTTCTTGGTACAAATCATGCTGTGAATTAGAATGACTTTTCTGTTTTTGGAATGATCCAGTCTTACTGAAGTGAAAATATCGTAATGTTATGTTGGCCATTAGGCCCCTTCACAGATGGGGTGAAATTACAACTTCCTCTCACCCTGCAGCTAACGTGCCATTGGGCCAGCGTGTCCTGTCCTGTTGTTGAGAATTTTTGCCTGATTTGCCCAAGATTTCTCATCTTTGAGCATCAGGACTACCAAGGTACACTGGATAGTAATTCTCTGTCCAGACCAGTCTGAGCAAAGCAAACTGGGGAGTAGAGGTTTCTTTTCGTGTTGATTTGAGAGTTTCTCACTGAAGTGGACGACGTTCTCTGTGATGATTCCTAAGGATGTGAGTAGGCTTACAGGGCAGATCTATCTTTGTGAATTCCCCGGTGTGGTTTGCTTGTACAAACTGGAGTAGCTCTGTCCTTAGCTGACCTGACATGCCGGTGTTCACAGGTGGCCTGGTCAGGCTGCATGTGAGTGTTTTCAGAAATGGGCCATGCATTTGTTAATTTCAGTGCTTTGACTTTCTTTGAGAGTATTTTATTCAGCATGATGTGAGGAAAAGTTGCTCTGAGAGTTAACCTTCTCTTTCAGAGCTAAAGATTTGTAAGGAGAAGAGGGAGAAAAGATACTCTCATAGAAATGTTAATTTGGGGACTGTCAGGTCTGGTGGGTTGGAATTGAACAGTATGGAAAAGATAAAATTAGCAATAGCAGTCATACCATTAAATAATTATTGGAAAGGCTGAATGAGTCTCTTTTTTGCTTGGAAAATAAATATTCTTTAAGTAACAAGTCTGTGTGTATAATTCTTAAACCAGTTATAAATTGAGGGAATTGATTCCACTGATCAAGGGCATGGTGACATAACAGAGAACTAGAACAAGATAAATTGCCAACTTTATTGAAACAATGTATAAATATCTGTCCTTGTTCCTTATACACTTCTTTTATTGACTCTGCTTCTAAAAAAAAAATAAATTCATTGCAAGAATTCAGAGTACTTAATTCATAGTCTTTGAAGAAATTCATGTGTAAGTTACAAGTATTAGCACCACTGTTGTTAGTATTTGGAAAGAAACCTCATGAACTTGACTTTATGCTGTTAGATATGTTGGTATTATTTGAAATAAGTGATAATTTGTAATTGTAATTGCATAACACTGCCCCCACAGATCTATAACCTTGAATTTTAAGCAGTTGGATTGTTTCTTTAAAAAACACTTATGTTGGAAGACATTTCTTTTTCGGCATGTTTTCTCCCCAGAGGGCAATCTTGGGAGATATTAAGCAACAGCATTCATTAATTCTTGGAGTACTGAATGGAGAAGAATGTGTCTCAGAGTTTGATGCAATCAGAATGTTAGAAAATTATCAGATCTAATTTGCACTAGGAGTCAGGGCTAATTACTGAAAGACTCTCTGAGTCTGTGGTCAGGTGAGTCAGGCGAGGGCTTTGCCATTTCATGTTTCTTGGGTGATTTTGAGTAAGGCGGTGCCCAGGGGTGGAGGAAACGCTCCGCACAAATCCAGATCACTTTCCTGTGGCTCCGGGCTGCAGTTAGCTGTCCTGTGTTGAGCGTGGGTGAGGGAGGTCTGGCTGAGTCACCCTGCACTGCCTTGGAGTTGGTGGAGAGCTGGAGCCTCTTAGGCGCTGCTGGCCCTGCCCCCAGCGGCCTCGGCAGGGTCCCTTTCTAGCAGGTGTCCCAGTATGCGCAGGAAGGAGCACCATTTTGCCCTGGAGAGGCGCTGGGCGAAGGGGCGGAGGAGAGGACGGGTCCTTGCCACTGACGCCCTGTGGGAGCAAGCAGCACTGCCCCAAACCAAAATGAGTCACAACTCACATTTTTCTTCTCTTTCCTTCTCCTAGAATTTCCCTCCTTGCCAGACTTCCTTGAACAAACAGACCTTTATGGCCCACTTTACCCACTTTACTGGCACAGTCGCCTTTATAGCTCCGTGGCCTGCGGGCCACCTCCCTGCTAGGTAGAGACCTCGCAAAGGGCCTGCACCTAAAAGAGTGGGCTGTACACAAATAAAAACTGAAACTGAGGGCCGGACTCACTGTGGTGTGTTGTTTCTGGAAAGGTAGCACACAAAGCAGGAGGAAACATTTCCACTGCAGTTGTGCATACTGGGTGCATTTTGCGACATACCTGTTCACTATTACTGCCACTCCTTCGTCGCTAGCTGAAAAGTGTGCAGGTAGCTACGTGCACATGGACGGGACGGAAGTGACAAAAGGGTTAGGTGACAAGGATAGAGAGAAGGAGTGCCTGTCGGTGAGTATATCAATTAAGTTCTTGGCATAACATAACAGTGCCTTTCATATGCTAAAGTCAAACTTTGGGTGTCTTCAAACTGTCTAGACAAGCACCTGCATATAAATAAATCCTCCCCTGGGGATCTTGCTGCAATTCGAATTCGGATTCTGATTCGGTGGGTCAGAGTGGGGGGGGGTTTCCCAGCATCGGCTGGAGTACAGCGGCTCCAAAACTGCTGGAACCTGGAGCTAATCCAGGGGAGACCTGAGCCTCCCTTTAGGCCACAGTTCCCCAAGGGCAGGGCCTGGGACGCATTAGTCTTTGTGTCTCCTGTACTGGGAGCCCTGCCTCGGACAGAGTAGATGCTCGAGAAATACTTTTTCAACTGAACTGAAGAAGTTGCTGTCCCAGAGCCCATTTACTTTAGTGCCCTCAGGACGCAGGGGTGTGGGGGCCCACTGGCAGTCTCCATTTCTTCTTGTAGCCCAGCCTCGTTATCTGTCCCCAGCTGTCCCCAGCCGCCTGCAGATAGGAGGTAGTAGGTAGGCTGGCTCCCGTGTTGAGGAGTGATAGCCGGGGCCTGGAGCAAGGAAGGGGACAGGGTGCCTGGGGAGGGACGCAGGAGCCAGGGAGCCGCTGGGGCCTGGGCTGCGTCTGCCAAGTGGCAGGCAGCTGTGCCCATGGCAGGAGCTCCGTGTTGTGGGCCCACCTGCAACTCAGTGCCTCAGTTTCCTCATTTGAACAATGTGGAAAGTAATAGGCCCCACTTGGTAGGCTGTGGGGAATATTAACGCTTTTGGAGCACAGAGTGAGAGCGCAGGAAACGTGGGCTGTGGCAGGGTTGGTGTATAACGGGCTAAGCGCCAGCCTTCAGGGAGGTTTCTCCTGGATGAAAGCCCCGGGCTTGAGGTTGCACAGAGGCACGTTCGTGCTTTGCTGGTGAAGGAGTAGGTGTAAACTGACATGCAAAGCGGCTCCTCCAGAAAGCTTAGGGTGGTGAAATGGTCTTGGGAGAGGTTGCTACTTGTTCCTCTTAGTCAGGAAATTCTTAATGGAAGAGGCGTATGTCAGGAGGTTTCAAATTAAGGGCGGACGAGGGGGAAGGTGAACCCAGCTTGGCGGTGCACTGCGGCGTGGTGCTGCCAGGAGGTGAGGTTCCAGGGTCCCCTGCTCAGGACCTTAATCCAGGGTCCCCCTTAAGGGGGACAGCACCTGCATGGGTGTGTGCCAGGGGCGGGGGGGGATGGATTAAGCTTCCTTGTGGTTTACTTATGTTGGTTCTTACCAATCTTTGGAATGGGCGGCTAAGGGTAGTGAGAGTGCCCGGGCATGGTTCCCAACACCTCTAGCACGTAGGCGTGCTGTGGTGGGGGGAGACAGGTGTGACTCGAATATTCAGGAAACACCTTGGCTGTGTTGTACCCATTCAGTTCAAGGATTTCTGCCTAGCACCTGTGTTTGCATAGGGAAATTTAAAGTAAGAAAGGAGGACAAAGCAGATCATCTCTCAAGAAGCTCTGAAGTGGTGTTCAGCTTCTCCAAAGCCTGTTACTGCGGAGTCCTCTGAAAGTCTCTGATCTGAGTGGTTTCTTTGTACCTTCTCACATGGCAAAAAAGAGACAGGAAGCAATGAGAATGGAGTGTCATTAAATTCAGTCGTATGTGGGTTTTATTTTTGATGTGTTGTCTGGTTCATTATCTCGTAAACTCATTAGAAGGCTTATGGTTAAGTAGAATATAGACATGTCATTTACCTTCCTTTTCAAAACCTGGGACTTTCAATCACTTCAGTCAAGTGTGAGCTAGGACTGGAGCTTCTAGGGCAGGCTCTGGTCGGCGGTGGGGATGCTGAGGCCAGGGCGTGGGGGGACTTACGGGTACCCCAGTGCCCTTTGGTGGCTTTTGAATTTTGCACCACACACGTGTTGCCTTTATGAAAATCCAATCGTGGCATTGTTTCTTTGGGAAAATCAGAGTCAGTTTTCATGGTACCTTTTGTAGGAATGTAGAAGGTAGGATATAATCTCCTTTTTTGTACTTTTCAGTCTCTATAAACTTGTACATGATTTATTCATCTCACCAGGGGCTATGATTAGGAGCACATTACATGGGTGAAACTCTGCAGGTGCCCAGGGAATAATGGTTCTGTTTACAGCACTCG